GAACGAAAAACTCTAAATAATGTACAAAACAAACATAACAAATATCGGATGTTTACAAAATAAAAAAAAAAAACAAAAAAACATGCGAGTGAAAGAAGAATCACGATAATAAATATCGTATTTCGGGTTTGAAGAACAAGTTCCATCCTCTGAGCGAAGCATGTTGCACTATCGGCATCTGATTTCAGCTTTATCTAGGGTTCATGTTGATTTTTGTGAAGAATTTGGTATGAATTCCTTTGCCCTAATTTTGTTGTTTGATTTTGTTTTTCTGAGAAAGAGGAGTCCATTTTGTGTATATGTGTGACGGTTGGAATTTCAAATAAAAGATAAAGCATAACAAATTAAAAATAAATAACGACTAACGTTTGAAAAAAGTGGACTGTTAAGTCCTGACGAACTGGGATCGATTTGGCAACAAAAAATTAAAAAGGACCATAAATGTGATGCCTGGGACCAAATGTGGGAAACGTAAAAAGTTTTGGGACCAAATTTGTAATTTTCTCTGGATAACTCACAATTGGAGTTTCCCCTTAGTGAAATATTTCTCTCTAGAGTTTTCTTCTCCCTGTGAAATTTCGGTTTTAGGGTTTGCTTTTCCCGTCCTCTTCGCTTATTTCTCTATCCTAATTTCTTATTCTCCATTGCTTCTCGCTTATTCTTGTTTTTTAGGGGTTCAGTGCTCTTTTGGGTTCGGGTTTGTGTGTTTTGCTTCCGTTTTTAGATTAGTGTTTAGAGCTCTTCGGGCCGTTTCTCATCTTGTAGTTTGCCTCTTTGTGCTTAGGTTTGATCGGTGGTTGTGTGTAGGTTATAGGGTTGGGTAGCGTTTCTAAGTGTGGCTTGTTATTTAGGTTGGGTAGGTTTTTGTTAGTGTTATATACTGAAAGCTTGGCTTTGGATGATATTACACTTTTACCCCTTATGAATGAGAAACATGTTAGATTAAACAAGTTCTACGTTCTGTTGTTTTGCATTAAATAGTGTGGGTCGTCATCGGACGAACCGAAGATCATACTATCAGTTACTCGTGAAACAAGAATAAGTGGTTCACAACCCAGATGGACATGAACACCCCATCGCGAACGGTTGTAGTGTCAACTGTACAGTTTGTCTTGACTGATTAGTTGCACTAGTACATTTATTTATTGAACAGGATCCCAGAGAGGAGCAGTTTGTTTTATACTGATCGTCGTAAATAAACTAGGCCTCGGTTAATTATTGCATACTCTTAACCCGTAAGATATTAAACAGATATATATGTGTAGTATTTATTACTTTGATTCACATGGGTGAGGCTTAGTGAACTGGGCCAATAGGCCTGCTGTCTTGGGTAATATTGCTACATGTAGGATGTGCTGTTAGGATATTTACGGTCACCATGTGCGTTAGTTTGATGATGTCCCCGGAGTTAGTTAATGAAGGATTATTATGCTAAACCCTGCAGGTGGATTAAATTCTGGCATAGTAATAATGTGATAAACGAGCGCTAGATTCGGTGAAAATAATAATAAATTAATTAATTCTTGATTGTCAGTAATCGAATTAATTAATGGGCATTATATCTTAAACATGGGGAGATAAATCGAGTAATTATTATTGGAGTCTCAATTGTAAATTGGGCTAGGAAAAGAGAGTGCAATAATATTATGTTGGTGGCCCATTTAATATTATTTAATTAATTAAAATAAGTGGCTTGGTCCACAAGTATTTTAATTAATTAAGGAGTCCTAATCCTAATCTCATAAGGATCCCTACTGTAGCTCTATATATACATCATTAAGCTCATGAGAAGAGAAGAGAATTCCACATATTGGAAATCACACCTCACGCCTCTCTTCTCTCTCTCAGTTCTTGTTCGAGCTTTATCTTCTTCTTGTTGTTCCACTAGTACAAGATTAAGAGGTGTTTGAGATATACAGTAGAAGACCTTTGGGTAAAGTGAGGCAAAATATATTTGGTCGTACAGAACTAACTGGAGGTCCGATAAAGACGTGCAGCATACCCAGACAACCGTCTCGACGATAGCTTTCCAACGCCGCCGAGATCGCTGCCGTACGACGCCGCACGCGCCCTCGCGCGCCGCCGGAGTGTCCCAAGACTGCAACTTGTCTTTTTCCGTTTTTGCACCCATTTGATCCGGTTTTCGATCCGATCTTGTTCGTGCAACCCTAGGACGCAATTTGCAGTCTACTTTTCATTGGTGTGCTGTATACGGCCATCTAGAAGATCAATCAGATCGCCATAAATTTTAAGCCGTAAGTTCTCTACGCAAACCTTTAGATCCGCTGCGCATAGGTTTACGTTTTGCTATTGAATTCGTGATTTGTGCATAACGAGATCTTCATTGATCCCAATAGTTTTGGTCTTAGGGGTCCGATTATGGCAGAGGACCTTGTCGACAAGCTTATCAAGTTTGTTCTTTCAGATAAGGAGGTGAAGGGGATCGAATTAAAAGACCTGGATATTGCCCCAACCCTTAATGAGTGTAGAACAAGCCTCATCGGCAAGGTCGATGGGGACAAGAAGATTAATACCAGTGGCTTTAAATCTACCCTGGGATTTATCTGGAATACTAGGTCTCCATTCTCTATTAGATGTATAGGTTTTAATCTTTTTCAGTTTGTGTTCAAATCTAAGGAGGATTTAGAGAAAATCCTCAATGATAAAATGTGATCCTTTGACGGCCAGTATATCCTGTTGAAAAAATAGGAACTTGGTCAAATTGAGTTCAGTGAGTTTGAAGAGAAGATTAATGTGTGGGTCCAGATCCACAATTTTCCTCTTCACCGGGTGGCTTATGAAATAGGATTGAAAATAGAGAAGCTAATGGGTGATGTCCTTGATGTTTTGGTCCCATATTCTGGGTACTGGGAGAGATAGATAGTGCGCATTTTGGTGGAAATGAAGGTATTTGAACCTATCATTAGAGGAGAAAACATCAAGCTTCGCTCTGAGAGCAAATGGGTAGACTTTAAATATGAACACCACCAAGCTTTTTGTTACTACTGTGGCAAAATTGGTCACATTGATAGACATTGCTCTAGAGAGGACATGGGGAGAGGGATGATTAACCATGGGCAGTATGGGGAGTGACTGAAAGCCTCATTCACCAAATTTTCTGACTCCATGAGCAATAATACCTCAGCTGGGGGTTAGTGCTAATGTGGGGGTGAGTAGTGGGGAGCTTAGAAATGGTAAAAAACAACCTGAGAACAGTGAAGCATGTAAGAGAGATAATATTCAAGGGCAGGATCAGAGTTCTAATCTCCCTAGAAGTGGGGAAATCAGTTTGAGTAGTTCTAAGATGTCTAATACTCCCTAGATTGTGGAGGAAATCAGTGATGTTGTGGGGGTTGAGAAAGAGCATGGAGATTTGGGGTTAGAACTTCCTAACCTCAATGAATCTCAACTAATGGACATAACTGTCCAACATGCTTCTATAAGGAATAGTATCTCCCATAGGAAGAAGAAGGCCTTTGTTAGAGAAGCTAGAGAGACCCCTGGGATGGGTGTGAAAGGTATTTCTAGGGGTGAAGGAGGGGCAGATGCCCTTTTCTTGCTAAAAGAATAGGTTCTAAGAGAGTCCTAGAGATAGAAGATGGCTCTGTCACTAGTGAACCTATTGATAACCCTGATAATAAAAAAAAGTTAAAGAAATCTGTGAATTCTCTTTCCGCATTAGTGGAGGAAACCAGCCATAACTGGTCCCAAAGTGATCAATGAAAGTTTCTGTGTGGAATTGCAGAGGTTTAGGAGGACCCTCTACAATTTCTCAAATCAAAGATGTTTTAAAACTCTCCCATAGGTTTTTGTTTGTTGGTCTTTTTGGCTCTCATGTTCGAGAGCTTCCCCTCTTATGAGAGTTTTTTTCTTCTCATCTGTTGGGAATTTCGTGTAAGTTTCTGTGTTTTGTGTGCTTGTTGGGGGTTGGTTGGCTCTAGACTACACTTCGTGTAGTTCTCTCAACTTGATTCAGTAGATTGTTTGGGTTTCTCAGTGAATTCACTTTCTTCAGTATGTAATTTTTGTTTTGTTCTATAAAATTTTTCGTTCAAAAAAAAAAAAAAGTGACTGACACCTTTCACACTTCTCGTATAAATCATATTTTTTATTTTTCGTTTTTATACTCGTAATGGGTATAATAGTAAAGTAAAAAAGACTAAATTGCAATTTTAAAAATATAAACGCATTTTTTCGCAGAAAACAAAATTTTCATCAGAAAAAAGAGAAAAATTCGAAAACCTAATTTAGGTTTGAGTTTACAATTCTACTTGAGAGTTTCTCCCCAATTTTTTGCGTTTCGCCGTTCGGTTGAAATCAGTTTTATGCTCAAACCACATTAGCACAATCCCAAATCCCAAATCTCAATTGTTTTTAAGGGAAATCGAGAGGTTATAAATACATATGTCAAGTACAAATTTATAATTTTGCCCCCAAAATTCTATTCAAATTCACTTTTGCCCCTTTAATTGCCCTCTCGCATGAAACGAGCCCCAACATTTTTCTTTCTCGATTCAACAAAACAAAAAATAGACTAAAAACAGTATATGGTATCTGAAAATAAAAGGAAAAAGGAAAAATAATGAATCAAATTAGGGCTTCAAATCAGAGCTAATATTTCGTTTTCACCCCCCTTTTTTCCCAATTTCGATCGAATTAGAAATCAGAACCATTCTCATGCACGATCTTCACTTCTCAAATGACGCCGCGTTCGCCACAATTCTGATCTCAGGTACGCAGTTCAATTCGCGAGTTTTAACCGTGTACAATTTCGCATGTCGTTTATGTGTGTTTCTGAGTTTTTCCATCATTGGTGTTATCGAACCCTTTTACTTCCGTGGATAGAGTTACTTTCCGGCATGTGCGGTAACGGGTTGATTTTTTTTTTTTTTTTTCTGATTAATCGCTTTTTTCCTGGGTGTGGACTTGTGTTGGCAGATCTGGATGGGACATGAGATCATAAAGGACCGTGTTGGAGTGATTGAATTGAGAAATTGTTCATGGAAAGTAGCAGAAAGAAGTCTGGTGGTGTTGAAATTCCCAAGAGAAACCGCTCGTTGGATCTTAAGGGAGACTGTGAATCTCAATTTTCTAAAGCAGGAGGGAATAAGAGGAAAATTTCCAGTGAATGTGACGTGGCAGACGTTACGAAGAAGAAGAGGAAGATCCCAAAGGAGGTTCCTTTGAGTTCTTTTGTATCTGATGCTAAGAAAAGTAGGAAAATGGATGATGGGAATGGATCGAAATCCAAGCTGGGTTCCAGAGAAAAACCAGATGCCGATAGTAAGATAGTGCACGGTGTCGCATTACCTTTGGGGGGTAGTGGAAATTCATTTCATATTCCTAAGCGGCCACGTGGTTTGGTAGGGCGGAAAAGGCCGGAAAGCGATAAAGGTTCTGAGTCACGGAGAGTTTCCATTTCCGTTGACTGTGTGAGATCACTTACAGAAGTGACTAAATTGGATAGTCAAAGTAGCTCTAATGATCAATCTGTTAGATCAGCTGCCCATTCGGCACATAACAATGGCACTTCAAATACTAGATTATCAGGGAAATTAGTTTCAAATACCAAGTGTAAGAAGAGGCCTGATTCTAAACCCAAAAACGAGTCCACTATTTCAAATGTGAAACTGAATCAAATAGTGGAAGGTGATGAAGTGAAGAGGAGAAGTGATTGGCGTATAGCGAAGAAAGGCAAGCGAGTTGTAAATAACGGAAATGTGTCTAGGAAGAAAAAGGACTTGGATGATGGCCGAGATCGAGTTGAGGCCTCAACTAGGGAACCCGTGCCCACATCATATGGTACAGTCTCGAATAGTCTCGCCACTAATGGCCTAGATGATGAGGATGATGAAGATGATGAGGAGAACCTTGAAGGGAATGCGGCTAGGATGCTATCATCTAGATTTGATCCTAGTTGTACTGGTTACTCGTCAAAGATGAAATTGTCAGCATCTCAAAGGGCTACTGAATTGAATGGGAACTCTGTCAGTCTAAAAGTGGAGGCTACTTCTGGTGGTGATAACTTGAGATCGCTTAGACCCAAAAGAGGAAATAATGGCATTGTTGTGTCGAAGAAACGCCGTCATTTCTATGAAGTCCTTGGCCAGGATGTGGATCCTCACTGGGTTTTGAAACAGAGGATCAAAATATTCTGTCCGCTGGACGACCGTTGGTACGGGGGAGTTGTGAAAAAGTACCGCTCGAAAGCAAACCTTCATCACATAAAGTATGATGATAGGGATGAAGAGTGGGTTAATCTAAAAGAGGAGAGATTTAAGCTCTTGCTTCTACGTAGTGAGGTTCCTGGAAAAGTAAATTCTCGAGACCAAGTTTCCAGGGACAAAAATTTACACACAGAGCAAATAGTATCACCGGCAGAGGATGAAAGCAGCATTGGAAACTCTCTTGATTCGGAGCCTATTGCATTGTGGCTGGCCAAACAATCTCTACGTGTCAAGTCTTTACCGAAATCTTCAAAAAGGCTGAAAACATCAGAAGGTGACTTTCCATTTGTCTCGTCATTGAAATCTGAGAAAACTAATGTCTTGAATGATGATGTGAAAGGTTCAGACATTACTGGAAATAGAACATTTTGTGAGTGTGCATCTGCAGATAATTCGCTCGGTTTTGGAGGCGTTGATAAATCCCTGCCGGAAGTTATCTCAAAAAGTGACAAACATTTGGTTTACGTGAGGAAGAAAAATCAGAAGAAATTCGCACGGAGTAATTCTGTGTTTAGTGCCAAAGCATGTAGTCCTACTCAAGAGCCTGCTGGTCCTCTTGCACCTGATGACTTTTGCTTGCCAACAAGTAAATTGGATAGGTTAAATAGTGGGCATGTAAGTGCCGACAAAGGACTTTGGGCATTTGGTGAGAAACGCCAACTGACATCATATAATACCTTGCTGGAGTTGAAAGAATTTAGATTCCAGATATGCCTCCCCTTATTTCCATGGCTGGAGTTTTCATGTAGAAGAGTGTTGTTTCGGCTGTTTTATGACATATTTTGGCTTCAACATGGAGTGATTGTGATTACCTCTCCTTCTGTTATCTTTGAGTTACTTCTTATTGATGATAACCTTGGCTTAAGACTTCTCCAATATGAAGGCTGCCTGAAACAGGCTTTAGCCATTGTTTTCAAAATTTTGAGTGTCTTTGGTCAGTATGATGAGCAGTGGAATGATGACGAAAAATTACCTGCCACATCAATTACATTCCGACTTTCCAGTGTTCATGATCAACAGAAGCAGCATGTTTTTTTTGCTTATTGTTTCTCCAAACTGAAGAGGTCAATGTGGCTTTACCTGGAATCGAAGATTCTGCAACAATGTCATTCCATTAAACATTTACGCCTTTCTGAGTGCACAGATGACAACTTAAAGGAACTTGACTATCGAATTCTTCAGCCTCTTCAATCTCGCATTGGTTTCAAGCTCTTGTCAAGTGAGGTATATACCTCTTATATTATCAGATAGTTCTTTGATAAATGCTCTTTAGGATTTTCCACTTCAATTGTTTCTAAGATAACAGTTTCACATTCTGTGAATGTCCTTAAATAATTGGCATGTCCCTGACCAAGTCATCAATTAGTATGGCAGTTAAAAAGTATTCTCCAGTTTCACATTTCAAATTTTAAATGAGCCTCCTACCCCCAAACTCAAAATCTTGTTTGATTTTAGCTTCTGTTATTTATATTTTTTGTGCTTTTTTTTCATCTCAGTGGTGGTTCAGTGGAATATTATCAGCTACAGAGTTTTTAGTTGGTCTTTCATCGACTTTGTGGAGCAACATTTTTCATTTACATAGTCATGTTGCAGCTTAAGGGTTGAAGCTTGGAACATCATTTAATTTTGTGGATTCTTTCATATTCCTTACCTTATTTCATTTATTAGTTGAAGCTTCGAACATCATTTGATTTTATGGATTCTTTCCTTTTCCTTACCTGATTTCATTTTATTATTTTTAATTTTTAATATCGACAATTGTTCTCTCTTCTTCTGCCTCAACTAGGATTTCAAGAAGAAACGTGAGGGGCAGTCAGAAGCCTGTAATGTGAGGATGAGTCCGTCACCTCCCAGCTTAACTGCAGAGCCCAGAAAAGTTCCTCAATCACCATTGCCCTTTCTCAATTTGCATCTCCATTCGCTTATGCAAAATAGTCTTACCCATGCACAAGTGTCAACTGAACAAAATCGTGACCAACCCATTGCAGAATGTGCTCCATTTAAGCTCAGCTCAAACAATTTTCAAAATACCCCTTCAGGAAATGAAATCAACCAATCTGATGCAGATGACTTTGTTCTAAACTCCAGCCATATGGGATTCAAAAGTTCGTCCAAACGTGGTAAAAGCAGCAAGATTTCCTTTCCTCTTGGAATCGGATCACCTGTCTGGTCCAGTGGTAAACCGAACTTCATGCCTGGACCCAAAAAGCCACGCACGCAGGTTCAATACACATTGCCTTTGGAGGGCTATGATACCAGCAGAAAGCAAGAAATGTCCAGCTCATGGTCTATACCTTTCAAGAGGATCAGGAAAGCTAGCATGAGGGCACCTGATGTTTCAGGGCATGAGAAAAATTTGGAATTGCTGTCGAGCTCTGTGAATGTTTTGGTCACCAATCAGGACAGAGGATGGAGAGAATGTGGTGCCAACGTTTCCTTGGAAGTTGCCAATGACAACGAATGGAGATTAGCAGTCAAGCTGTCTGGGGTTACAAGATTCTCGTACAAAGTCAAACATGTTCTGCAGCCTGGATCAGCCAACCGCTACACACATGCTATGATGTGGAGAGGGGGAAAAGATTGGGTGCTCGAATTTCCTGAACGAGGCCAGTGGATGCTTTTCAAAGAGATGTATGAGGAGTGTTATAATCAGAATATTCGTGCGGCCTCCGTGAAGAACATCCCCATCCCTGGGGTCCGCCTGGTTGACGAGTACGATGATTGTGGGCACCAGGCTTCATTTGTTCGGAATCCGGTAGTGTACTTTCGTCAGGTTCAGTCTGATGCCGAGCTGGCAATGGACCCCTCTCGTGTTCTATATGACATGGATAGCGATGATGAGCAGTGGTTGATAGAACAAAAAAAATGTGCTGACAAACATATATCTGAACAATTATCTGACAACTTCTTGGAAACGGCAATGGACATGTTTGAAAAAGTTGCATATTCCCAGCATCGTGAAGACCTCACTGATGCTGAAGTTGAGGAGCTAGTGGTTGGAGTGGGGTCCATTGAAGCCGGTAAACTCATATATCAACACTGGAGAAGGAAGAGGGAAAAAATGGGCATGCCTTTGATAAGACATTTCCAGGTACAATTTGTATGATTACCCACTTCTAGCTTATTATGAGCACACCTTGTGTAGGTTATATGAGTACATTGGAGTGGAAGTTTGAACAATCTTCATGTGTCCACTTTCTCGCTCTTTTGCAGACAAAGTATATTTAGCGCCTGACTAGTCTAGGCATATAGTTATCCCACGGTTCAATGTGTATGGATGTATATTTTTCACCGAACAAGGATATTATCTAGGACCTACTTCTGGGAACATCTCCATTTAAAAATCTATGACCTACTTGGAAACAACTCCATTGGATCCTTTCTTGTTAATCACTCAATATGTATTCCCGGATAAGCTTAAGGGTGGCTGAACTTGTGTTCTATAGTTGATTTGTATTAAAAAGACAATGGAAGTGATTTTTTGCGATTGTGGATAACTAAAGTTCTCTATTTTATAGCTTTCGACCTCCAGCCACGGTTGCGATTCCTGAACATAGGTTTGCTTAACGGATGATTATCGACCAATACATTAGCTTTGTATTGACAGCATGTTAATTGACCCCTTTCAGAACCTAAATATTACTTTTTAGTGCACTCACATATCAATTTTGAAGGGTATATTTTAGTTTTGCAGTATGCACCCAAAGATGTCATAACATTTTAGGTATACACACGTATATTGTGTCTCTATTTTGTTATTCCTGGATACCTTTGTGATTCAAGGTTTTCACCTTTGTATCCAGCCGCCTCCTTGGGAGAGGTATCAGCGACAGTTAAAGGAGTGGGAACAAAATGTTGCTCATGGCAATTGTATAGCCTCATTTGGTGGTGCGGATAAGGACAAACCACCAATGTTTGCTTTCTGCTCGAAACCACGCGGCTTGGATGTGCCTAACAGAGGCTCAAAACATCGGTCTCACAGGAAATTTACAAGTTCTGGAAACCACCATGCTTTCTTAGGGGATCGGGACAGTCTTGTTTATGGTATTTCTCGGTTATTCCATCGTCTTAATTACCACATGGTCCATTGTTTTTCTTTTTTCTTTTTTTTTTTCTTCTTTTTTTCTTCCTAACATTTTTAGTATTTAGTAAAGCTACCCCTGAGGTTTAGCTTAAGTACAAAATTCTCCCGTCATCTTTCAGAATTATAATTATCCTCTTCAAGTTCCACCAAATTACCCCTCACCATGGTGTGGTTTGTAGAAGGTGAAACATATGTCAAAGGAGTATATTTATTTATCTATTTATATATTGTATTTAGGACCTCAGGGGTATTTGTGTAATTGACCCTTACATTTACTGGTTCTTCTTTTATTCCTACACCCCTTACCTCTAAGGTCAACTCCACATTTGCAGGGAGAAGAACAAATGGGCATGCTTTTGGGGGCCGTGACGTTTTATACATGAACAGCATACATGAAGTTTCTGACATCCCACTCTACCCTTCAGCAAGGGTCTGGTCCCCACGAGACGAGCATTACTCATCGACTGCTGTTTGGAAAGTTAACCGCAAGATTTCCAAGAATAAGCACAAAAGGCTTATATCACATCTTTATTCTCACAGCCAGCAGGTGACGCCCCACAACCACATGACAATGGGGTACAAAAATGGAGTCCGGTCGTGGGACTTAAAGCAGCTCGACATTTCTAATCTCGATGAGTTTCATTTGCGCGATGCGTTAGGTGCTGTTCAATATACATGCAAAATGGCCAAGTTTAAGAGAGAGAAGGCACAACATTTGATTTGCAAAGCAGATATAGCTATCCACAAAGCTGTATCCTCTCTAATGAATGCAGAGGCTATGAAAGATTCTTTTGAAAACTTGAATTAGGGACCGATCGGTGGTGTTTGTCTGTGAATATTTTGAGTTAAATAGGTTGGCTCAATATAAGCTGTAAGGACTCGGGTACATTTAAAATAATGGCCTGTATCCTTGTCCGTATTATAGAGAGATTTCTGATGCGATAGCTTGGTGGCTATTAGGAGTCTGCCGCTTTGGAGTTTGGATTGCTTGTGTCCAGTCTTGATCTTAGTTTTTCTTAGAATAATTGGTTCATGTGGAATTTTGATTTTTTTTGTTGATGTATATGATTTTCTCCCCTTTTTTTTTTTGAGTATGATAGAGCAACTCAGCACATCTTTTTCATGTCTCATATAATGTTTGCGGGAGTACAGTTGGTTTTTAAATTTTTCAAACTTATCCTGAAC